GCATGTACTGCGTGTATGGTTTAAACAAACAAAAGCATCTTTGATAAACAAATCCGCTTTGTTCGAAATAAAAAAAAAATACAAAACATTTACAATAACTCATCTTTCCAATGAGGATTTTTATTCATGCCGTAAAAGGATATTTACACTATGAGTTTTTGTTACAGAACAATAGAAGTCATTGACAGGTAATAAGTACTTGGTTATTTTTAAGTATTTAGTAAAAAGGTTCGTTATAAATCTGTTGGTACGATTTTTAGATTTATTTATTCACAATTTATTCGTAATTGGAAACTTGGCAACTCATTAACTAAAATAAATTCTCAATCACACAATAATTATTGGAATATGATAAGTATATTAATTTTATAATAGTAATAATTTGCCAATATCAACCAATCAAATTAAATTTTAACTATGACTTCTAGATTGCCGTGTGGTCCCGGCATAGGATGGGCCACCCCTTCCTTTCCCATGGGTGCCGTAAGAGGCGATTAAGGGAACTTAAAGGTCGAGCGATGGGTAGCAGTGTCCCTCTTAAAACATCACCTAAGCCTAACTACGGTTGCCAATCCGCCTGCCAAGCATGGCAACTACTGGTAAAGTCCCCCATAGGGAAAGCCTATATTCAGCAGCGGAGAGTTAACGGCTGACATGACATGATGATCTAGATATAAATAAATTTATTTTTTTCGGAATGAAAGAAAACTTATTTAATTTTTGTGTAATATTTTGTTTGTAATTTACTAAATACCGATTTTAATTATGATAAAATTTGTTTAAACTAATACTGAAAAAAACCCACTCCAATAAAAATAAAATTGCCTATAAATCTCAAAATAAGTGCACAACACAATGTCTTTTTAAAAAATAAATAAAAATAAACAAACAAGTCTGATTCCCATTCTTAAAGTAGGGAAACCGTCGTAGATAGATCTACGATGATTTACTTTAAGAATGAGAACTTCGGTATGTGATCAACTGAAATTTTATGACAATTTAATTAAATACAAATTTACATCATTGTTATAATATTTATATAATAATATCTAAGTCAACTGTAAAACAATAGAAATAACCTATTAAGCTTAACTTCAGAAACAATGGAATAGTAATTATTTTTTTTTCTATCACAAAAAACACCGAATAAAAATCTTTAAAACTGGTTTTGATTTTTGCAAATAAAGCTCTTTCATACGTTACCCCAACTGAACTCGCAGCCCCAAGTAGGTACCCCATTTCAAGTGGGTACCCTTTTGTGAATTCGCTTACAAGGAGTTTTTTTTTTCTAAATGATTTTGAACTGATAGAATTAGTAGATATTGAAATATTATAGCACTATGTGAAGATATATATGCAATCGCTACATAAAAATCCTCTTTTACTTTTTTAGTACGGAACCTAACCACATACATATCGCCTAAGCTCGTCGTCGTTTGATATATGTGAAAAATTGTCTAGTAAAAAACTATAACACCAACATAGAAATATATCTTTTCAATTATTAAAAATAATCTATAAAATTGATGCACGATTAGTTATTAGACATAAAAATGCAATAGAATAGGGAACCGACTTCTTTTTAAAAACGATTAAAAATCAATATTAATTTTGTTATATCCAATATATACCTACTCAGGACCGTTCTTTATGGTAGTTTATGGAGGAGGCCTATGTTCATCATTGGACGAATAATGGCAGAGATGATGATGATGATAATAATAAAATTAAAATAGATTTTTATTGTGGCTATTTGTGGTTCTATCAATAAAGGTAGAATGTGGTAACAATATTATCCAACTTGACACTGGCTCCTTTATTCTGTTTCCAATCTCAAAGAATGTACATTGTAAGTTAATATAGATTTACCAACTAATTTCTAAATACATTTACGGTTCACTACTTATAGATTTAATTTAGTTTGAAAAGAAATGTACTAAATAAAATTACAAGTGCTTATTTTCTGCATTTTACCAACCATAAAACGAAATCGTTCTACCGCAGCCAAGAAATAGATCGAAACCTCTCATTGTCTTTAGAAACAGAATTGTTTCACATTTATCTAGGATCTCCTGTCTGTCAATATAGGTACAGAGAAATTATTAAAAGTAAAAGCTAGATTGTACTACATGCAATATCTCCAAATCTTGGATTTACAACTTTAGCCGAACGCAGCTATAAAGAATTAAAAATATAATATTGATCAAATCCTAGCTCTACATTTGAGAACTTTTAAAATATAATGTAAATAAAATATAATCATAAATATAGTATACAGGAAATCCTAGGTTCAGAAATTACACGTTCTAAATTGTTGAAAGTTTATAAGGAGATAAAAAGTAATCTTATCCATATAGTACGTAATTTGGTATAAATTTCATAGTATTTGGTTAAGCCGTTAAGGCGCTGCGGGGTAACAAACAATTTCTCTTTCACATTTAGGTATAATATTAGTAAAGGCAATATATTCAATCAACATTAAAAAGCTTCTTAATAGGACTCTATTTTTTTATATATATATATTTTAATATCTTTAAAACAAATAATTATGTAACGATTTTTAAAATTCTTTATCAATTACGTATTAATCCCATTCTTACTTCTCCAAGACAGAAATCAAAATGAATGAAATGAGAATAATTTATGTAAGTCATATTTTACTAAACTGCCTCACGAAAAATACAGTTTTAATATAAGCTACTGATTCTATACAATTTTCATAATGGAATGTTTACCTACATGTTATGCATACGTAACCGTAATTTTATTTATTTATTTATTAATACATATATATGTGTACATTGCGAATTAAATCCTAAAAGCATTCTCTCCCAGTCAACCATAGGGAAGTGTCAAAATACTCGAATACAGTACTAATAATTATTTATATACATACATTGTATACTAAAATTACATATATAAACGAATAAATAATAAATAACAAATGTATTTACACATATATAAAATATAATTTCATATTTAAGTATTATTTTAAAACATTAGATCGTTTTCCAATATATTTTGTTTATGCAAAATATGTAGAAATAGAGTTTTTGGTACTCGCAGTGTGTACCGGATAGGACCGGAACATTTAACTAGGTATCTAATGCATAGGTACTGGGGGGAAAGGGATTGTTAGTAATGGAGACTGAGAATCCCATTGCTAGCAATATACCTAACCAGGTCGACCTCCTCGCGGTTCCCCTTAGAAATTATCATGGTTAATTCCTGACAAATTCATCATGATGGGCTAACTGGCCTGTTTTCATTCTCATCTATCATCCTTCACTGGTGCACCGCCAGCGTATCCCGTTAGCGCAGGCGGAGTTTTCATCCATCAAAAAAAAATGCATAGGTACTGATCTATACCCATAATTGCTATGCTACACAGATTATAAAATTTAATACGCAGTATAATTAATGCTGACTATAGACAATTATTGTGCAACATATGTAATTCTAATGAAAAATAAATATAGCATTTTTTTCTACAATTTGTCAATCAGTAACAAACAACTCTATTATATGCACTTTGGATATTGTTAACTGATGTTACACTGTTGTCTGAAATATTAAAAAATAAATAGGTAGGTACTTACTTAAGAAAATCAATCAGCGTCTTAAAAAGAGCTAGAATAATTGTGGTAAATTAAAATTTTAAAGGTTTTTTTTTTATATTTTTGACTATTTTGTGTTACTATGGCACACGCACGAAAGAGAAAAGAAATATGTTACTTCTTTGATATATATTTTCCTTTTCCTATTTATTATATATTTTCCTTTTTTTGTATATGTATTCTTTAATCTCTTTTTGATCTAGGTCTGTTATAATTTGTGTGCTGTATGTAATGCAAATAAATTTATATAACTATATATCTAAGCGTGTAATACCTAAGTTTATATCTGCTTGCCTATAGATACGATGCTATAATAAATGTATCTTTGATATATGTATCTACAGGCAGGCAAGTTTTTTGCAAGGTAAGTAAAGATGGACGCTTTCGAAACACCAAACGAATATTCGAATAAAACAGAATTATAATACAATTATAGATTTATTTAACAACAGTACAACTAATAATACTCAATAATAATAACTTTGAAAGTGGTCAATTTGATTTGTTCGCTACAATTTCACAAGCAAACTGTAACGAGTTATACAGAAAACAACGACCTGGGATGCCCATAAGAAATGGCTATTTAAGTACTATATAACTAGCTCGACTACTTACCTATTGTATAAAAATCAGCTAAAAAAAAACTAGTTAAAAATAATATTACAACAAAATACATAAGTCTCGCTATTTTAAGTAGGTAGGTTAGGTAACTTTTATTTTAGAAGAAAATTAATTCTATACCTACGTATTTAAATACTTAACTGTCATGTATTTTTATATCTATATAAGTTATTATGTTTATACATATCTACCTACCTAAAGTGTTATACCTATTACATTATAGTACAGGTAATAATTTTTTTTTGATTCGCTATGAAATAGTCACGTAGTACCTACCTAGGTAGGATACACGGTAGTATGTATCTGTCCCATTTGGGACAAAGGAAATATTAGTGAACTATGAAAAAAAAATGTTTTCATTCTAGAATTTTTCATTCTGAATTTGTAACAAGATAAATACTTTTTATTGCTTTCTTTAAAATTATATCCTATTAAATAATAGATATCCCATGGCGGTGTGTAATGTCCAAAGGTATTTATTATTAATTATTAACGTGCATATAGATATAATTTTCCATTTTCATGTATAAATATTGTTAATCCCTTATTTATCTATTCTTGAATTACCTATGATAGAATGTATGTGTAATAAATAATGCTTTTTTAATAATTTTACATTTTTTTAACAAAGAAGTGGGACAAAATTGACATTTAAGAACACTCGAAAATCACAGCGGGAACCTTGTAAATGGCGTAATATTTAAGAATATTTTTATATATAGTTGTGTTTAAATATAATAACAAACAAAACAATAAAATAACCTCCATAGGTCGGCATCGTCAAGCACATTCACAGTTCAATCCAACCATAGACAAACTTAAAAGTTTTTTTTTAGGTTATGATCACAGGACACTAACTTTTACCAATGTGGTGTTGGTGGAAGGGGGCATGGGCCCCCCGTCCTGAGGCAAGGAAACCCGCCACTTCGGCACCTCTACACGGCACTGCACTTGACACAACGCGACGTTTTCGCGCGCCGTCACGAATATCGCTCTAACACGCGCGACTACTGAACGCGTACTGACGAAAAAGCTGTAGTTTTGAGATGAAGGCCCGAGAAGGAACGAGAGAGCCGTATAAAATAAAAGCAAGTTGAAACGAGATAGAAAGGGTAGCGTTCGAAACAGGCGTGGTCCAAGTATGTAGCCACTAGCGTTAAGGGGGTGGCGCCTGCGATGTAATTTTTTTCCATAGGTTTTTTTTCGTGCGTGTTTCTGTGCGGTAGTGGGATTTCATTTTGTGGGACACGTGCGGCGTTCGCAGTAAATTTAAATTGGCTTGCCGGTAGATCGGGTGGTAGCTGAACATAATTATAGAGCCTGGATTTTTCGGTTGCGTCTCTAGGCGAGCTGGGTGTCTTATTTTATGATTTTGGTTTGGTGCTGTGCTCGAGGATGTTTTGACTGGGGGCGTGAGCGAGTTATGTTTATGTAGACAGTTGCCCGCCTTCGAAACGTACGTTCTTTGCCTCCGTATCATTTCTTCATTTTGATTTAGATCTGTTTTTCTAAACATCTACATAAAAAGGTCTTTCTAAATGGCTGCATAATTTTTAGGAGCTGATAAAATCCCTACATCTATACATATACATTTAGTTAATGTATATATTCAAAAATATCAAGTGTCAGTGCTCGAATTCATTATTATTTTAAAGCTTTGTTTTCCACATTTACAAATAGATATTTTTTAAGGCCACTTAGATACCTATTTACCAATAATAGGTACTGAATATGGGTAATAATGGGTACACTGCCTCCTTTAAATGCCAGATATTAATATTTTACATTCAAATAACTTTTACTAAAAAATACCTAAGATTCAGAATTGAAATAATATTTTCATAAATTAATACCTATTACTTTATTCTACACATGTATGTAGGTAGTCTATTTCTAGGTGGGCACCTACCTAGTACCTAGATTAGATACTAGTAATAGCTACATAAGTAAATAATGTAACATAGATATTAGTCCTTCAAATTAAAGATAGACACAAATACTATCGATTATTATATACGATTTATTAACATAATTTTGTCCTACTGTAACTGGGACAAATTATGGGACAACTACCTGTAATACCTACACTCTGTTACATGGTATCTGGGTAAGATACACCCAAATAGATTGTATAAGGGGGAAAGGGATTGTTAGTAATACGGATAAATAGCCCCATTGCTACCTATATACCCAGACAAGTTGACCTCGCGGTTTCCCCTGGAAACCATCGTGCTTCCAACTGCTAACTGACCTGCCTATTTATCCTCACCAATCATCCTTTACTTGTGCCCCGCCAGCATACGAATAATTGTTACCCTTTAATTAATTAATACCTAGTATCGATACCGTAAAGGTAACAGTCCCATTTGCATCCTTCAGAAAAAATGGAAGGTGTATATATAGATAGTATGTATATAGAGCAATTTAATAATTCGTTTATTAGTTATACCATAGAAAAAGCTTCTTATTTAGGTACATGTGTGTATGGTTTGTGACAAAATTTGGTGTGATAAATGAAACAAATTAAAATTGTTCATCTGATGGAAAATGGTGAGAATGTAAACCTTACCTATTGACAATACCTAGACATTTACAATGCTATGAATATCAAGAAATACTCTTTTAAGTGCACCTGTGGCTCTATCATCCCTCATGCCTTTCCTTTATAATGGAGTCACCATCATATACCCTATTAAATACGCCTATGGCCCAATCAACCCCCATACCTTTCCCAAAGACTCTTAGACAATGTACATTGACTTAATTTTCATACTTTCATAGCCAGTAATTTCACTATATATATTTAAAAATAGTAACCAGTATGATTGAAAATTAATTTTTTTTAATATTGACAGATAATTGCCACATTGCCACACTTCGGTAAGCAAAAGTTAAGAACGCTCTTAAACCTTCTTCAGTACATACCTAACTGTCAGAATACTGGGGGGAAAGGGATTGTTAGTAATGGAGACTGAGAATCCTATTGCTAGCAATATACCCAACCAGGTCGACCTCCTCGCGGTTTCCTCTGGAAACTATCATGGTTAATTCCTGATGAATTCATTATGATGGGCTAACTAACCTGTTTTCATTCTCATCGATCACCCTTCACTGGTGCTCCGCCAGCATATCCCGTTAGCGCAGGCGGGGTTAACATATCATTTTCACCCATCAAAAAAAAACTGTCAGAATACTTTATCACGTAATTACGAGTAGAACATCTCGGGGAGAAGAGGTTGTTAGTACCTAATGCGGACTACCAATCCCGTTGATAACAATACATCCTGTGTTACCCCTAGAACCGTCGTGCTGTTTTCCAGATGAATTCAATACGATTGGCTAACTGGCTGACTTTACATTCTCACTAATCATCCATTAAAAAAAATACAATATCTCAAAATTAAATTGTAGATATATTCGTATTTACGTCAAAATACAATGAAGCTGGCACAATCAAATTGGATTAAAATCTATAAAAAAATAACAAAGAGAAAAAAGTTGACTCCTACGCGATCTCTAGAAGCCATCATTGTCAATTCCTGCTGGTCACTATGAGCCGACTGTCTTAATTTCATCTTTACCTATTATCACTCATATGCTAGCAGGATATCAATCCTGCTAGCATATGCCAACAGCGCAGGCGGAATAACCATCCCATTTTCGTCCCATAAATCTACGCAATTCCCCTTAGAAACCATCATGATTGAATTATAGTTGAATTCGTCACGATAGACAAACTGACCTGCTTCATCATCATCTATTATCCTTCACTGGTACCTCACTAGTGTATACCCATAACGCAGGTGGAATTAGGTACTGTTCCATTGTCATCCATTAAAAAAAAACACAGTCATAGATAAGTAGATACAGGACATATTAAGTACCTACCTCAATCTTTAACCATATTTTTATTAAGATTTTTTTTATTTAAGTTTCCTTGTCGGGACAACTAATTCCTGTATTCTCTTCCATCCAACTCTATTCCAGGCAATATCTTTGACCTCCTTATACGATGCATACTTATATTGAAATGTTACAAGAACTATATTATGTCTGTCTCTAATAGGCATATTTTTTCTACTATTTTTACTTCTTTTCTACTATTTATACTTCTTTTCTACTATTTTTACTTCTTTTCTACTATTGATAGATCAAAACCCTTTCCGCACTAAACCCTTTAGAAGATAGCACCGATACCTACTGCCTAAATAGCGGGGGGAAAGGGATTGTTAGTAATGGGATTTAACAGTCCCATTGCTAGCATATCAGGTCGACCTCTACGCGGTTCCCCCTGAAAACTATAGTGGTTAATTCTTGTTCAATTGGTCACTATGAGCCAACTGACCTGTCTTCATCCTCACCTGTCACCCTTCACTGGTACCCCGCTAGCGTATACCAATAGCGCAAGCGGCGTGAATTTACTGGGTACAGAGGAATAACACCCGAGTCCTCAGGAATGGCAACGCATGGAGGGTATCATGGGTGAAACAGTATACTCTGTTATGTCTATGGTACTGCTCATGTCTATAGGCGACGGTTACCACTTTCTAACAGCTGGGCAGTCAGCTCGTATGCCATTCTAAGTTGTATAAAAAAAAAAGTTTATGAGGATGTGTAACAAACTCAATAATGCTTAAACGGCTAAACAGTTTGAATGAAATTTGGCAAACGAGTAGATTGTATCCTAAATTAACACATAGGATAATTACGAGTGCGAAGGTGGAAACGGGTGGGCCGTGTCCACCAGAATTGTCTGGTGCCTATCACAGGGTTCGATCAAACTTCATAAATATATCTAAAAGTCCGGTCCCTTCTGGTAAAATAATATTAAATACATCAATGACTGTTACTAAAAGAGAACTCAACGAAAAAGTGGTCAAATTTGTTAAAATTAAACGTAATTAATACAACTTTATACTTGACTACCTTTTTGCCCGCTACCTCGTGCGTGTGAAATTTAGAAATAGGAAAACTAATGAAATACTATTTTAGACGGCGTATCAAGATAAAACATACACCAGATTGTGAAAACCGTATCCAATTTGTTGTAGTAGTTTTTGCGATGCCACAACAAACATACAGACAGACAAATTGACTAAAAATTAATGTTTTGACATTTATTTGTCTTATTAAGATCCACTGTATATTTTTTCTTAAATATCTGTCATTTATAAACATGGTCTATATACTATTTTATTATATTAGTAAAATAAGATTAGGTACATTTTTCTGTACGAATTTATTGGCACTGCCCTCTATCGTACTTAAAGATATGTAATGTATTCGAAGTAGCGCCATCTAGATTAAAATGGGTTGAAATTGTTTATTCTCAATTAATTCTTAGGCTTTGTAATAGAGGGCCTGAGGAAGTACAATATAATTATTTTTTTGTTATAATGCAGGTAAAACAATAATGTTGAAGATTATATGTAATTATTTCTAGTAAAAAGATAATTTTTAATACATGATAACTTCATAGATTATGTATAGTACCTACTACGAATAATTCTTAACTTACAATCACGGTACAGCAGATTATTATTATTATATCAACCGTTAACTGTTCACGGTTTTTTTTTATGGTTGAATATGGTATTGTAACCCCGTCTGCGCTAACGGGATATGCTGGCGGAACACCAGTGAAAGGTGATAGATGAGAATGAAAACAGGCCAGTTAGCCCATCATGATGAATTCATCAGGAATTAACCATGATAGTTTCCAGGGAGAACCGCGAGGAGGTCGACCTGGCTGGGTATATTGCTAGCAATGGAATTCTCAGTCTCCATTACTGACAATCCCTTTCCCCCCACTGTTCACTGTTGAACATAAGGACCTCCCCCATAAGGGAGGTTTTGCCAGTAATTGCCGCGCCTGGCAGACGAGTTGATACAACAGATAATATCGTAAAAATCTTGTTTTTATTCTAAAAGCTACGGATATTTATGCGTACAATATAAAAAAAATAGGTAAAAAGTACGCAAAATTTTAAACAACTGAATTAATTAAATAATTTAGTCTGAACTACCTATTTTATAGAGCTATATAAATAAAAATCAATTGCTGCATATTTTTTTATGGATGATAATGGAACGATAATCAATTTGGCTTTTTAATTTTTGTTGTATTTATAATTTAAAAAGGTCTGTATGAAAGAAAATGTTAGAAAAATACTACAAAAATATAAAAAAAAGATAGGGTTTAAATATATAAACATAAGTTACTCAATTAAATAAGAAATAGTTAGGAAATAGTTGACATTTAATTTTATTATATGGTCGTACTGTAAAGGGAGAATTGGTTTCATTTTCTTCAGCACAACCATGCGAAGACAGCGTGAGTTGCTTGTATTTAATAAAATAAAAATAACTTAGTAAATTTTGCGCCATCTCTTAATAATAGCATTGAACTGTGTATTTTTTACCAATATATGAAAATGATATAGTAACCTCGCCTGCGTTATCTGTATACACTGGCGGGGTACCAGTGAATAATGACAGATAAGGATGAAACCAGGTCAGGACCATCATGATGAAATTATCAGAAATTAATCACGATGGTTTCTAGAGGGGACCATGTGGAGGTTGACCTGTTACCTAGCAATGGGACCGTTAATCCCCATTACTAACGATACATGCAGGCGCTCATAGGTTATAATAACTGCTTACCATCAGGTGGGCCGTATACTTAAAAAGTCTATTTAAAAACCTTTTTAAATCTGTTTGTGCGAGAATATAAGTGGATTGTATATACAAGTTTTTTAAAAGATCCGAGAATGCGAAATTTTTTTTTTTTTACAACACGGGGCAAACGAGCATGCGGCTCACCTGATGGTAAGTGACTACCGCCGCCCATGGTCACCCACAACACCTACGGCATTGCAGGTGTGCTGCCGGCACCTTGTTTTAAAAGTACTACTAAACTACCTAGATTCAAACTTAGTTCAAATGACTTACCCTTTGATTAGCGAAAATTCCTTTTACTACATACTCAGATCACTCAGTTCCTTATAGCATGCTAAAGTTCCCTGAGATTACCTCGTAAATGTTATAAGAACTAAAGGTCTTGAATCTTGAATCCTCCTATAGACGTTTCAATCTTGAAAATGTCTTTTTAACGACACGAGAAATCATCTTTTGCGTAATTTATTAAATAAAACAAAATATTAAATTCTAAAATTAATGTCTCACAATTGTGAAATTAAATCTCTTACTTATTAAATATTTTTAAGGGCGACAACGACAAAACTGTTCTGTTTCTGTTTTTAAGAGCAGACACCAACCAACTTTTTTTTATCTTTCTACCTCCAATAAAACTTATTAATTGCCACATGCAAGAATAAAATTTTCTTATGAATTATAGAGAATGTTGCCATGCAATTATTACATCTAAAGTGAACACTGTTTAATATTAAATAAAACCAAACATTAATCAAAATACTTACAGTTTTATTCAACACACTTAGCCTTACAATCTATATATGTGTATAATAACTCTCAATACTATCACTGTTTGTTCTGCGATTTTTCTACAAAAGTTCAGTAGGCCTCTTATAAAAATAAGGTTATACCAACTTAATGATACGATTATCAGGCGCTCTCTAAACCCATCTCTTAACCGAATATTTTCATTATTTTTTTTTACAACACAGGGGACAAACGAGCATGCGGCTCACCTGATGGTAAGTGACTACCGCCGCCCATGGTCACCCACAACACCTACGGCATTGCAGGTGTGCTGCCGGCCTTTTAAAAAGGAATATGCTCTTTTCTTGAAGGTTATGTTGTCGTATCGGTTCGAAAATACTGTTGCTGGAAGTTGATTCCAAAGAATGGTTGTGCGTGGAAGAAAGTGCCTTGAAAAACGCACGGTGGAGGACCGCTACTCGTCCAAATGGTTGGGATGAAATTTTAGTTTATGGTGGGTTGTACGGTGGTGAAAATCAGCAGCAGGTATCAATCTGAACAATTCATCAGAGCACTCCCCATGATAAATTCGGTAGAAGATGCACAGAGATGCAACATCTCTACGCAGTTTCAGTGGGTCGAGCCGGACAGTAAGACGCCGATCGTCAACAATTCGAGCTGCCCGACTTTGAATACGGTCTAACGGAAGGAGTTGGTACTGTGGCGTTCCTGCCCACAGGTGAGAACAGTATTCCATATGTGGCCTCACTTGAGCTTTATACAGTTTCAGGCGGTTTTCTGGCGTGAAATACCGTCTCACCCTATTGAGCACCCCCAACTTTTTGGAAGCTATCTTAGCTTTTTCCTCCAGATGACCGCAAAACTGGACGTCGCTAGATATATCGACGCCAAGAATCCCCAGACTCGACTTATTATCAGATAATTTCGCAAAATTACGGTTTTAGGGACCATCGTAAACTAAAAACCAAATAATTTTAACCATAAGTTGTGTGTTCCACAAAAAAAACGCAACTTCAACTCAATATCAGTTATTCTGATTTAAAAATTAAATTACTAAACCGATTTTGATTAAATTTCTTTGGAACCAATCTATAAGAATATCCTTTTACATAAAAAAAATGAAATCGCTTTATAACTGACGGAGCTATGAGGTGACAAACATAAAGGAAATACAACCAAATTGGAAACTTCCTACTTTTTTAAGTCACTTTAAAATCTGTTAGAAAGTTAGTTCATATTGATCCTTAAACTAAAGATTTCGTTGGTTGATCAATTGGAAATTTTAATTTAGAGATAGGTTTAGAGAAATGACCTCTATTGCATATTCTTAAACTACATCCAAGTGCAATAAAGACATCTTCACTTATTCTCACCGTTTGATCAGTCTTTCGTTACTTTCATATCATATTTATAAAATCCACAAAATAATGCACACAGTTGATTTAATCTATAATACTTTATATAAAATTATATATGGCATTAAATTGCTCTAACTACTTCATTTGAGATTACACTCGTGAGTATATGTATGTGTTTTTTTTAATATCAATTCAAACTAACAATGTAAGTCTAATATGAAAGCGATACATTTCAATAGAAAGATGTTAAAAAAATTTTTTTTTCAATGGTATTTCACAGAACAGTACTATAAAATCATTTACCTGAGAGTACAATATATTTTATTGCCTACAATTTTATTGAAAAAAGTAGTTTTCGTCTTGAAACCATTTGTTAAAAAAAAAATAGGTCCTGTCACTACGTGAAGTTATTGCACGTAATTATTGCGTCCAAGATTTCAAGGAAAAATCACAAAAACCTCATACAATATAATACTTATTATTTACGGAACTCCTTAAATTCAGGAGGGCATCGTCTAATGGATAATTTTAGTTTGCGAGAACATTTTTAAAACTAAATACTGTTATTATTTCATTCTTGTCTAGTATAAAACTATTAACATCTATCACAGACATTAAATCAAACAATTAAACCTATGTTACGTGCCTTAACCTTCATACAGAAGTTTACCAACAACGACTTTCAAAATAACTGAATGACATTCAATATTTCTGTTTGACTGTACAGAAAGTGCTCTTCAAGTCGATTATAACGTTAATCATACGATAAGCTGCAATATAAATCCGAATGTACCACAAAATAACTTGTTATATCCATCTACAGCATATTTAACTCTAATTTCGTTCATCATCATCATCACCATATCGGCCAGTCCACTGCTGAACATAAGCCTCCGTCTTGAGAGATTTTGCCAGTAGTTGCCGCCAATTCCATTCGCTGACAATTAATTCTACTTCAAAACATACTCATTAATTCAGTTTATTTTGTTGAAACACCCATCAAATCCTTTTCGAGCTTATATTGTATACGTGAACATCCCTGTTTGTCTATGTCGCTCTAATATAAATGTTTACACTGCCTATCTGGACATTTTTAATCTAGAACTACTACAGAGTACGGAGGTTACGTCCAAGCCTGCTTATGCCCGCGGCGCTGCATGCGCGCAATCTCTGCGCACACGTCTCGCTCGCGGGCGCACGCGGCTCGTAGTTGCTGCTCGCGCGCGTGACGTTCCTCCAGCTGCTGCTGCTGTACGCGCAATCCGTTTAGCTGCGACTGCAACGCTGTCACCGTCGAGTATGCACTGTTTTTTAGCTGAAAAGATAATTAGAATTCACTATAAATATAACTACTTATGGGGTAACCTATACCAATAGCGCAGCCCGGGTAACCATTCCATTTTTATCCATTAAAAAGAAACTTGTAATAACAGGAAGAAAAGGATTTTTTAACAAAGTAGTATGTCATCAAGTCTACCGCCTCGCATGGTCTCCCATGGAAACCATCGTGAATTAATTCATCGCGATGGGCCAACTGGCATGACTTCTTCCTCACCCATTGGCATATTTAAGATTATTTTCCAGAAGAATGATGTAAAGTTTGTAACGATTAAACTCGACGTGTGTTTTCCAAAGCAAAATGTATTTTCTGATATTAGAAACCACTAGAATATCTAGGTATCATTACAAAAATGTAACTGACTACTGACCTGTGTCTCCCTTTCTTTAGCCTGAACCTCTTGGTGGAAAGAGTCCATTTGCTCCAATATTTTCTCACGCTCTAAAACATTGGCCTTCTGCCGCTGTCTGTTCGCTTCAATTTTCTCTTCGACCTGTCTCCGAAGAGTTGATAGCACTTCCTCCATGAGTATTGCACGGGCTTGACGTTCTTTGGCCCAGAGCTGAAGAAAAATAAATTGTTATTCATAAGACGCTTTTATTATTTACCAGAATACAAATTTATATGATTTTAACCTCAGAACCAAATGTATGTAATTATATAGAGACTATATACTAATGACTTAGTATTACATATTCTAAGTTTGTAATTTATATAAATCTATTAATTTATTAATATAGAAATGTCAACGATCAAATAAAAAGAATATTACTACTACTACTAATACTCATATGAGGGTGTCGCCCTCTAGTGTCAAGAGTTTTTAAATTACCTTTTTTCATTGTACAGAAAGACCTCTGAAGCGCTATACATTTATTTATGACTAGTTTTTACCAGTGACTTCGTACGTGTGTCTGATATATGTTTACTAACTGGGATAAAAGGTAGCCTATATGCTTCGTCATCCCATATAGTACGTATATATAAAATTTCATAGTGATTAGTTAAAACGCTATAAGATAATAAATAAATAAACTCATTTCACATTTATAATATTAGTAAGGATTACTACTGAAGTAGTTTACAAAATGTCAGCTTTACATGTTTTCGAAAGCACTAAAGTGACAGTTGAAACGCAAAATTTTGACTAAGCTTCTTTGGAATCTTAGTAAGCTGTCACCAGTGATATAAAAATGAAACATAAACCAATTTCAATATACTTACTTTATCTTGTTTCTCGTTGATCTGCCTAGCTTCACCGTCATACATCGCTTCTATGTTCTTTTGTCTCTGTCTCTCCCTCTCTCTGTACTCTTCTAACTCAGAGAGGGCCGCGTCGAGCACTCGCTTGTGATTAGCACATTTGTCTTGTTCATTTTCGTAGTCCTAAAATATGTAGAAAAGTGTTTAAATAAATAATAATTTTAATTGTTGCACTTTACTCGTGTTGTACAATAAATTCCATAATTAAAATAATTATTAACCGTACGTAGTAATTATAGAATGTATTCACAATTATTTCAAACATTTAATGTATACTGCCTTGGATGCAAAAAATATTTGACGCTAAATCCTCAAAATATTTTTCTCAAACATGCTTGGAAATGTAAGCATTATTTTGACAATCTTCTTTGAGATAAATCAAAATTGCCGTACTGGCCAGATATATGCGGGCAGCGGCCGGCAAAAGTTGTATGAAAATCCATATCTGTCGTGTTTTGCGACCAGATAAATTACTATGTAAACTCATATCTGTCCTATAATTTAAAAATAGAATGACCTTTTCCTTTGAAACATGGCTACCAAGGAGGTAATTAATAAAAGGTTTTATTTAAATTTCGAACTGACTTGCAAATAGTAAGCTGTTGAAAAAAAAAGAAACATTATGGCGCGTGAAAAATTACTATTGTTCGTTATTCGTCATTGAACTTAAAAAGTAAAATCATGTTTTTGATTTCCGCGCATTGTTTGAGAAAAATACTATACAAGCCTTGGCCACAACTAGGCATTGATGGATTCACGTGTGTGTGCCTCGGCCCACATTTGCACGTTCGTCCATCAATGCCTCAGTTGCTGGCCGCTGCAGTAATGTACTATAACTGAAATTAAAATTTTAATCATACGGGATGTCAGTGAAAAGATCGTAATGAAATCATTTTCTGTTCGACTTTGAAAGATTTCCAAACTGTAAATACCAAGAATTAATAAATAATAAATTAGGCGATCAATTAGCGCCATCTACAAACCTACGAACAGCTAGCCTGGTTCATAGGCGAAAGAAACAAATGTTTCTACTGACAAATATATGGCTATATTTAAAGTATGAACAGTGAAATATGGTAGCGTTATTACTGGATAGAGAGGCATCACATTAGACCTCAGGACTACCACCACATATAGTGGCAGTTCTTTATAATGTCTATAGTGCTCTTCGTGTCTAGGCAATAGTTATGACTTTCCATCAAGTTAGTTAATTTGACTATTCTCTATCATAAAAAAAGAAAGAGTTTTTACCTTTAAAACGGCCTTCTTCATTTTGTCCAACATTTCCAAATCTAACTCAATTTCCTTCAGAACGGAGAGGACTTTTCTCTTTAACTTATATTTATGGAGACCCATATTAATGATAGTCGCTTCTCTCTCCGCCCTCAATCTCGCCAGTTCTCTCTCTCGTTCGCTCGATATGAACTTCAGCTCGTCAAGTACAAGTTTCTCTTTTTCTTCCATTATTCGCAATTTTTTTACAGCTGTTTCTTTTTCGCTTAATTCTGCAATTTGTCCTTCAAGGCTTTCACGGAGTTCCTAATGTAAAAAAATTGTAATTTAGTGTTCTATTAGGTATACTATTATATGTTTTTTAATATCACAAAGATGGCAAACAAGCATCTGATGGTTTACTAGTTTTGACCCGCAACTCTGTCTGGGTGATCGGGAGAGAAAGTATTCTATATGGATTTATAATAGATCTATATACCTAGATTTATAAAAAAAATAGACCTGAATATATCAGAGCTAAATATCTAAGTAGAGGCTTGTAGTTAATATAGATATGTACAGACTACTGACAGTAACTTCAAATTTTTTATATCAAACCTTCATTTTTAACTCTTTCTCTTTTAGCCTCTCTTCTTCGACTTGTATCTGTCGTCGAAGCGCCTCGTCGCGTTCCTGCAAAATTTTTCGTGCTTCCTCCTCTTCTTTCTTCTTCTGCATTTCTTTTTCTACTATTTGTTCCATCCTGAGAAGTAAACAAAATGTATCATTGTATTCAAGATTATGTAAAATAAACAAGTATTTTGTTATTTTATTTCAAGTTAAAAATGTTGCTTTTAAGACAGATAGGAAACATTAGCAAACATTACCACAGAGGATGTAATCACTACATTATTTAGCCTAATTCAAATAAATAAACCTATTTTAGTCACGGAAGTTGTAGTATTTCGTCTCTTAATGTTCCGATATGGTAGACCATATTGCTTAGAAAATTTTCAATAAAACATAAGATTTCATTTTAAACCCCCTCCCCTAACACTTAACCCTACTATTTTATTGCTAATGGAAGTGCTTTTAACTTTTATGGCTATATTCTGAAATATAGCTATGAAAAACTGAAATAAGTATACTTCTATTTTCCCCCTAGGGAAAAATATTTTCTGCAATATCTATAAATTACAATCAATGACATTTCGCATACCTCCTCTCCTTCATTGAATTCAATTAACAGACATACTCCTGTTTTAACTATATGCAAAGACATGTTTAATAGTACATAAAGTGCTTTTTTAATGGGCCATAAAATCTTCTTCTTCATCTTAAATACGCCAATGCCTATATATTTTATTATTGTTATTATATTAGTCGGTATTTGTCCACTGCTGAACATAAGCCTCCGCATATTGGGGAATTTTAACAGTAGTTGCCACACTTGGCGGGTGGGTTGGCAACCGCAGTTAAGCCTTTAGTGATGTTTTAAAACGGACGCTGCTGCCCATACCTCGCCCTTCTTAGTCACCTCTTACAACACCTTCGAGAAAGAAAGAAATGGCTCATTCTATGCCCGAACTGCTTGGCAAATGCCTATATAGACCAGTGTCACTCTCTCCTGTTATATGTGTACTTTTAAGTTTGTGTATGTATTTGTTTATGTATATACATATATATGTATATATCTTTGTATATATTTGTTTATATATAATAGTACTAATATAATATTGCGCCACCTACCCTTTTTCTTTCTTTTCTCAATGTTCTCTACCCAAAGGTTGTCTGGAAGAGATTGCTTAGCGATAAGGCCGTCTTTTGTATCATTTCTTATTACAGTTAAATGTGTTTACTATTTTATAAATGGTGCAATAAAGTGTACATAAATAAATATAGATGTTACAATACACAATTATACTTTACCTTGCAAGTAATAACAATATATAATACTTACCAAGCTGACTTCAATTTTCCATTAGCAATATACGAGCTGGCCGCTCGGAGTTCCGGTTGCCGCAAGCGCCACGCATGGTGAAGCTTCAGTTCCGCTTCTTGTCTTCGAAGCTGTTCCTCCTTCTCTATAATACCCTGGTTTATTTCTTGCAGCGTAGACGTCGGCACTTTGTTCAAATATGACCTGGAATTTTATTTTAATTCAGTTATATCTAAGCATCTTCAAATGAAAGAAGGAATTTCGTCTGTCGAAGATTATTGTATCACTATTAAAGTAATCATATTTTTTATATTTTTTATTTTCCAGTATCGTTAAATTGATTGCAAGGAAAAATCTACCATAAATAACCTTTGAAAATGCCTTAAGGACCCAGGTATTTATTTCATCACCTTTTTTTAAAAAGAGTACAAGAGTACAAGAGTTTTTTTAATAATATCAATATTAAAAATGCTGTTTTTTTTTAAAACAAAATCCTACCTTGACATCCCTCGAGCCCCTCCCCCAAGGCTAGCACTAAATATAAAGAAATAAAATCCCTAACCAAGCTGGCTGGCAGCAGTCCAATACCATGGAATTTTTGTGAGGGTAAAAGGAATTAATAATAATGGGGACTAAAATCTCCATTACTAACAATAGAACAGATCGACCCCCACGGGTTACCACTGAAAACTATCACAATTCCAAGTGAATTCGTGACGAATTCACGATGGTATAACTAACTTGCCTTTTTATTCTCACCTTTCACTTATGCCCTGTCAACATATACCGTTAGCACGGGCAGAGGTTGCCATTCCATTATCCCCCATTGAAGAAGTCTTTGTCCAGCAGTATGTATACATTAAAACGGTATATGCATACATTAAGCCAATTGTGTGATGACAGTAAACACCAAATATATTAGGGGGATGGGGTTGTTCACACACACACACAGTTCCCCCTGAAAACTATCGTGGTTAATTCTTATGGAATTCATAACAATGGGCCAACTGACCTATTTCATTGTCACCAGTCATCCCTCACTGGTGCCCCACCAGTATATACGAATACCGCAAGCGGGGTTACTATTCCATTATAACCCATTAAAACAAACACCATATTATATGCATATCTAGCAAATGGATGGACATCAATTTTGTGCTTTGTGTTTTTAAATATCTCAAAACAAGGACAAGAACAAAAGCAGCACAAATTCTCCACTGCTTTTAGTAAATAAATATTTAAACTAAGACTGAAATAAATACATACCCATTTTTGTAATATTTAGGCTGTGATGCTAATGTCTTCAGTTCCTGCTGGTACTGCATATTCTCTTGAAATAACATTAACTCTAGTTTTTTTCGACGTTCCTCTAAATGTCTGTAAATGACGGGAAAAAATATCTGTTATAAACATTTATTTCAAAAGTTATAAATTATATTAATAATAATTTTTAAAACATGCAACATTTAATGTTTTCGACACAATATAAATGACATCAAAATGAATTAAAAGAAAGTAAAAATATATTTATTGTTAGCGGTAGATTAAAAAAAATGTAATGACTATTCAAAAGTGCTTCAATGTAAGTTTATTTGAATAAATGATTTTCTATTCTATTCTATTCTGTTATGATCGTGTTCTGTATGAGACAAAACAAAATTGTACAGAAAGACCGACAGAAAGACTTGAAAATGGATTTTTATATTTTTCCACAGTGCTTTTTAGAAAATGGCATTATATTTCTATTCTACTTACGCAGCTCGAATTTTTCTTTGACTGAGCATTTCAGCCTCTTTGTTGGCTTTCTCATAGTATCCTTCTGTGGTCCATTGTTCATGATGGCGAGATTTGTTTGTATTAGCTTCAAAATAATTGGCCACCTGATGAAACATAATATATTCTATATCACATAAATATAAGCAGAATTAGATTTTATTTATTAAAAACTCAAGATCTAATCTTAATTATATATTATCTACATATAGTTGTTGAAGTTTTAAATTCACATAAGTAATTTTTTTTCACCTGAACTAAAATCTTGATTTTAATGTAAATTTCTCCATATTAAGTCTTATTTTTACAATTTAATACAACATAAATATTTCATTAAATTTTATTGCTCTTCTCTAAAATTGACTGTCAAAGTTAAAACTTCAATAACAATAATCATCATCATCATCATATCAGTCATTATCGGTCCACTACTGAACATAAGTTTCCCCCATAGACTGCCATAAGGTATGGTCCTGAGCCATTTCAGGTTGTCACTCTATCTAGTAGGGATCGTCCTACACTGCATTTGACCATACAGAGTCGCCACTCAAGAACCCTTCTTTCCCATCTGTTGTCAATTCATCAAGTTATGTGATCAGCCCGTTGCCATTTCAGCTTGCTTATCCTTTGGTTATTTTGTGGATATCTTCATTTCGGATTCTATCATGTAAAAAAACTCCAAGCAATAGACCTCTCCATAGCTTGCTGAGTAATTTAAATGTTTTGCATATGGGCAACTGTGTAGGACCATGTTTCAGTTTCACAGATCATCACTGGTAACATACACTGATTAGAGATCTTTGTTTTCAAACTTTAAGGTATTTTGAATTTTTAATAACACACATTCGAAAATGTTGTCATTCAAACAAAAACTCACAATAATCATTTACAATAATTCAGTTACAAGCTTTTTAATAAAAAAAATAATTGTACAATGTCTATCCAATCATAACTTGAGAATAATTAGGTTGAAGTAGTTATTTTTTTATTTTTTATTCTTAGATGAATTTTATAGGTAAAAAAAATAATTAAGATATGACATCTGTGAGGTATAATAATCATTAATTAGTAATTAATTATTAATATACATTACCTTTTTTAATTCCTCTGCACGACGAAGTTCGTTGTCTCGACGCTGAGCAGCAAGGGCTTGAAGTTGCCATTGAGGGCGGGAGCGAGACATTATTTACACCAAAGAGTATTGCTAATTATGTATCTATTAAATAAATTCAAACATAAATAGAGTATATATTTTTTACTAAATTTAATAGACTTATGTGCAAAGTGAAGAGTATGTCTAGATGTTATACAATTCACAATGTTCATACAAAATTAATAAAATCTTTCTTCTTATTTCCAAACTGACTCACTAAGCAACCACACAGCACATTTCAGACCTTAAATACTACAATATGACTCACTTTGTGAGATCAATAAGTCTTTTGGTTCAACGTACAAAGACTATGTAGTAAAGATTGAGCCAATTTAGTTACATTGCAAGCCGAGTAGGCGTTTGATATCGTCCGTAATTGAAACATGTGAGGTCAAGCATTAGATTCAGTCCATACTCGGTAACAATTTACTTCCTATTTAGACCATGATCACGCGATTTCAAATGAAACGTGCAAATGCCCGATATGAACGAAACGAATACCTACATTGCGACAAATCAAAACAAAATACGTCAAAACGGTAACGTGACAGTGACAGTTGCTAAGCAACGGCGCTACAGACGCTATAAACATCATAGTGCGTTTTGTTTCATCATATAAAAAAATTTCTACTTTTTTGTTTTTGACCTTTTTAATAGTTAAATAATTTTTTTTTTACTTTGCTCAGAGCAATTAAATACTACATAATTATTGTATAGAAATTTATTATTGTAATATATCCATAAGACAATGATACAGCGATGGTGTTTTGTCTTATAGTGTTAATAAATCCACCTTAGGTGAATTATGTCATGCTGTAAGCATAAATACACATACTCAGGGGGAAAAAAGGATTGTTAGTAATGGAGACTAAGAATTCTATTGCTAGTAATATACCTAACCAGGTCGACCTCCTCGCGGTTCTCCTTGGAAACTATCATGGTTAATTCCTGATGAATTCATCATGATGGACTAACTGACCTGTTTTCATTCTCATCTATCACCCTTCACTGGTGCTCCGCCAGCGTATCCCGTTAGCGCAGGTGAGGTTACCATACCATTTTCACCCAACAAAAAAAAAAATACACATACTCATATTTTTTTTAATGGTGATGATGGAATGGTAGACTCTCCTGCACTATCGGTATACACTGCGAGGCAACAGTGAGTATGAAAAGTTGAGGATAAAAAGACAAGTCAGTTAGCTCATCGTGATGAATATACTCGGAATTCAGCACGATGGTTTCCAGGGTTTCCACGTGGAAATCAACTTGGTTGGGTATATTGCTAGCAATGGAGCTCTTAGTCTCCATTATTAACAATTCCTCCCCCCACATTTTCCCACATACTCATGTTATATAATATTATAATGCAAATTTTTTTATTCAAAATATGGGGAAAATGCTTGTTCGTAATATGGACTACCAGTCCCATTGCTAGTAATATACCCTATCAGGTTGACCTCCAAGTGGTCCCGCTTGGAAACCATCGCGATGAATACACCTGGAATTCAGCACGATGGTTTCCAAGCGGGCTAACTGACCTGCGTTTTCATTCTCACTTATCCTTTACTGGTGCCCTGCCATCGTATACTGTTAGCGCAGGCGGGGCTACCATTTCATTAACATCTATTTAAAAAAACCACTTTCCATCAGGTAAACCGTCTGCTCGTTTACCTCCCTAACAATAAAAAAGAATCCACATTTTCTAAATATTATCAAACAGTTACCTAAATAGGTATACTCGTATAAGAAATTTTTACCGGTACAAAAAAATTACTTACGTAATTACTTCTTGTTTTAATTTTAATATCGAATAGAAAACTGGATTATTTTAGAAATAACGCATGATGGGTGCTATGGAAGTCACAATGTATTCTGTGATGTGTGTTCGTATATTTTATAAAAAAACAGTTACCACTGCACATAAGTTGAAACATCAACTTTACAATTAAAATTTTTATTAAAATAGCTTTTACAAAAAAAAAATTGTCAAGTAAAAGATAAAAAAAGTAACTATGCCCCTCCATATTATAATTTAGTAATCCGTTCACCATCACTGGTGTCTAACGCATAGATAGAGCATTGAATATTTTTGTTTCTCTATTAAGGTGTGTTGTTATGAAATCCATTCTTTTGTTTTATAAAACATTTTGACCCAGAAATGTGGTCACGCGCAATACAAAGCGATCAATCCATTCGGGTCCGTAAATCACCGGGTCAGTAAAACGTGACGTATAATAGTTATTATCCAACAACATAACTTTCATATCGGAAAACTCTTATGCTTTAAATATACTTAATTACAAAGAATATTGCCGCTATCACGCACATAGTGTATCTCTCAAGAAGATTTACGAGTAACTACTAAATACGAATAAGTTAGGTATAAGCATTAAAAGGCGAAACTAATATTTTAAAACACGTAATTTGGAATTTGTAGATGAAGGGTGATGGTCTAATTTCCCACGAGGACCATTCGGCTTGGGAAATGTTCTACTTGTATTAGTTTTAATAATTAAGTAGAGGAACGTTGGTAAACCAATAAGACGGTGGACTGATGATATATTAGAATATACAGGAAAAGACTGGTTTATGATAGGCAGAAACAGAGAGTTGTGGAGAAAGATGGAGGAGGCCTTCACCCAAAGAGGGGTCCATATCCAAAAATCGAAGAAAGAATTACACTAACAATTAGTTATTAAGAAAAAATATAAATAGATTAGATACTAACAATACTGTAAATATTTTAGGAATATGGAAATAAATAAAAGGTTTTAAAAAAAAATTTGGAATTTAATTCATAGTAGTAGAGTATGAAGGAGACTTTTGCCGAGTGAGACATCATGAATTAAAAAAATAATAGATAGTAGACCAGAAATTATGCAAAAGTGAATGGATGCGAGTACCTCGGGAGAATAATAATCGATTCGTGAACGAGACGTTACCTATTATGATCAACAGACTATGTTTTATTTGAAGGAAGAGCCAAGAGTTTCTGAAATCAGCGTGCATACACGGGACGAGTTATCAAAATGTAGGAAGGAAAAGATGTATGTTAGGACTGAGGCCTTTGACGCTTAGTTCTTACTGCCTGTCCCGTAATAGATTTGGTGTGAAGTTAGATAGATAAGCAAGATATTAAAAGGATTTAAAAATGAAGGTTTACGCAATTTAGTGACAGCTACGTCAGCTACCGAAACCTGGACTCTCCATTCAAATGTTACCCGATAGAGATCTTTTTTAACGATAATGCCGCCTGTTGTGCTCTTATTTATGCCTTTTCTATATGAGTGCTAGCTATATGCCGTGGGTTCGCCACGGATATAATCTACCCGTTACCCAACAGTTACCTCTTTCAATCAGGTGGGTCGCCAGCTTGTTTGCCATTCTATACTCGTATTCTAAACAAAAAAAAATATCATGTACCTATACAAGCGGCTTGGTATAGGTTCAAGTTTTTTTTTAGTATTTTACTGCTCTTGTTCTGATATATTGCGCTTTGTTTCCAGAATTTCTTGTTACAATATCTTATAGAAGAAAATGACTAGTAACATATTGTACTATTACCCTATCACTGTACAGAAATGATATCGAACTATGAGTAGATATAATATTAAACTCTCAGATTATACAGATAGAGTTTCTCTATACAAATGCTTCAAGAAAAGCGGGTTAACTTTTACATACAATTTTGCGTCATAAATAGTTATTAATGTTTCCTTAATAACTTCTATATTTATTTTGTTTTACAATTTTTGCAACTTTTTAATGTGTAAAAACTCATTGTATTTATTAAGTAATTAAATATAGATAAGTCAAAATACATTATGTGCGTAAGTATATAGAACACTGATAAAAAACGAGTCTGCTAATTTAACAATTAGCTGACAAAAATTTGACCCGGATTTGATACTCCATGCTCTATCAATATAATCTAAGACTAAACTATATACCAAATATTAACAACATATATAATGTAAAGCGTTTATACAATATTTTATAAATGTCGTGATATATTTAAAAGTGTCTTTGTTTGTGTATATGTATCGACATCCTTTTTTTTTCATGGATTTAGATGGAATGGGACACCTGTCTCGACTAACAGTGTACAATGGCGTATGAAGACAAAATCAAGTCAGTTGGGCGATCGTGACGAACTCATTAAGATAGCAAAATATACCAAATACAATAATTTCATTAAGTTATATGTATTTGTTTTATTTACCACTAAGTTATTATTAGTAGTTAACTTAATGATAGGCGGATGGGCTGCTGCCTGTCCCTATTAAAACATCACTAAAAGCCTGACTGCGATTGCCAACTCGCCTGCCAAGCGTGGCAACTATTGGCAAAACTCACCTTCTGGGAGAGGCTTATGTTCAACAGTGGACAGTTAAAAACTGATATGATAATAATGATTTGTTTTATTTGCATAAACAATAGGAATAAGCGGAATCAATACTTAATCAATACTTACATTTAACAAATAAGTGTTTAAAATTAATTAAGTGCAGACAAATAGAATATTAGTCTGAAATCTTTACATATATTAATAATTTACGATACATTAAATATTTTCAAAAATATTATCAATGGCATAAAACATATGCAATTTCGAATAGAAAACGTTTTTATCTATTTTTTAAATTATTCTATATTTAATATTATTTTATAGATATATTATATAAACTTTACTAGTCATAAATATTAGAAAATTGTCTTTGAATTTAAGGTACAGCACCGATAGCAACCTGAAACTACGTATTCCAGTCTAAATTTTTTATTCTAATTTCTTCTATTTTTTCTATGTTTTGTAGTTTATAAATATGAAAGAAATGAAAAAGAGTTCTTAATGTAGTTAATAACGTAGAAATGTTGCAAGTACCTAGATGTACTTTACGTATATCTGATAGATAGATAATTTATTTGCATTACTTACAGCACAAAAATAACAACAGACATACACAGTAAAAAGAGGTAAAAGAATGCATATTTAAAAAGCTAAATATATAAAACAAGTAACAATTTTCTTCTTTTATGCATGTGCCACAGAAACATAAAATGGTCACAACTCAGTTTATTGTTTTGCCCTCAAAAAAGCATAACATTGATATTCTGTTGTGTTTTTGATCTCCTGTAGATTCAAAAGAAGCCTAGGATAGGCTCAAAAAAGTCTAGTTGAACTCCAATTAAATTATTATTTGAAGTTTCTACATGAAATGTACCATCATTAGAAATAGTTCATAAGATTGATAAAAAATCAATGATGGCAGAAGTTCTGAAAATGTTAACTTTAATGCTTCACGTCACATGGACTTTACGTCAATGAGAATTGAGCCTTAATTTTCATACACACTGAGTTCCTCGCGAGTACTTACTATTCTAATCCCTTGAATATAGATAGATTGTTATTTACTCTTTATTGTTTCCTCTAAAAGATTACAGTAGTAGACTTATTATAAATATAAATAATTATAAGAAATAATCACTATGAGAAAACAATGGGCGACCTTATCGCTAAAAGCGATCTCTTCCAGGCAACCTTTGGATGGAGAGGAGTAATTATAAACAATTTGGTGGGAAGCACGATGAAAAATTCTGTTACTTCTAAATATGGAGATGTACATACATATAATAATATAAATATTAAAAATAATAAATTCCTTTACGCTGGCGGATATCAGTGAAAAATGATAAATGAGGATGAAGTCGGCTTTGCTTGACCTACTGATGAATTCATCAAAAATTTAACCAAGATTGTTTCCAAGGGGTCGACCTTAGAAACAATCTTGATTTAATTGTTTGGTTGTCGCCCTCCAAACAATTTATTTATATTTATATTTCATATTGTTTGGTTCAATTGTCCGGGAGCGATAATAAATTTTGTTTTCGTACTGCAAAAAATAAAGGTAATTTTAGTTCGTGAAGGCTTAAGCGTGAACGTACTATCTAGTAATGGTTTCATTTGCCACTTGTCTGCAGGCATTGGTAAGCTCGACCGCGAAGCTCTTATTTTCATTGAGGGACCGAGCTTGCGGCCTTCAAGGTGATAGCGGGTCACATTCCGGCATGGAGTGCAATGAGTATATGCTCTGTCTTCTTCTATTAAAATGGCGGTTGTTAAGTGTTGCCAGATAAGGAAGAAATATTCCAATATGGTAGTAATTATAAAAAATATCAGTGTGGTGATAATTAGGTTCTATATAGTTTTACTGTTTATTGGTTAATTAATGTGTAATATATAATAAAAATTAAACATTTCATTATTACAAAAATCAAAGGGAATAATTTAGAAGTTTTACTTTCACAAATATTATATCTTTCTATTTTTTATATCTACTTAATACATATTACACATGTCATTACTTAATTAAATTTTAGGTAGTATTTGTATATTTTTTACTAAATAAATTTACTTATAAATAGTTCTCTTACTACGTTTTTAAAAATTGTAACCGAATATGATATTGTATTTTTTTTTGTAATATATTCCAATTGATATAAATTAAATTTAAATGAAGATATCAGATTTGCTACAAAAATTTATTACAGGATTATAACAAAATGAATATATGCCCATTAATTAACCCTCTTAATTGAAAAACAATTATTAAAATCTGTTCACAATTGACTAAGACAACATTTGAAATATGCGGAAATAATACAAGCGAAAATTAAAAATCTTCTTTTCGAAGTATAAAACATTTAGTAACATTAATTTCATTGAAGTACTGGTAGCACTGAAAACCAGCAGTCAGTCCGTCAGAGGCTGCGCGTGCGCATGCCAACGTCGATTTTACCGCCGTCGCTAGCGTCTTAAAAAAAAATACCCAAATATACTAAATAATAATAATAAATCGAGTCAAATTTATGTATGGCAAAGTTTTTGAGTAATTTCGAGTGTTAAAAATGTTCTAAACTATAGTGAAGCTAGGAAAATCTCGAAAATGCTACCTGTGTATATGTAAAGTGGTTTACGATTGATATTTTTTGTTTGTCCGCCTGTGTGTAGGTAATAGCCGTGTTCGAACCAAGAAATGGGTTTATAATTGGTCTAAATCAAAGACCGCAATGGTAAGTCGAAGCTGCACATAAACAAGCTTTTACACTACAAATATGTTTATGTGTGCGTGATTGTACAACACATACACGCGCTTAGTGTCTACAACGAGACATGCTTTCAAATTTCGCGAATATTTTTTTTACGATTTCAAACATAATATGTGTTTTATATTTATTGTTGTTATCTTCTTAATTATATTAATCGCAGGTTCGGTCGGTTGGTGGGTTGGCGTCAGTTTCTAACTAGAGTCAACGGTCTAGAAAGTTGTTTTGATGCGTTGCGTTGACTTGACTAAGTATATTATCGATGTAATCTATGATATTGCAACTAATATAGAAATTTATAGCAATTTAAATGATGATTTCGTAACATGTTCATAAACAATTACATATATTTTGTGTAAATACTTAAAATACGTAATTTACCGTCGATATTGTAATTAATTTTAACTTATTTTATTAAAAATAATACAGCAAAAAAAATTATGATACACACAATTTTTACTGTGAAAAATGAATAACACTGACAAATAATACTAAATATGTTATAACTGCGGAATACACATGCCCGCGTGTTCCACAGTTACAACTATTTACTTCTCGGTGTAAAAGACATCAACGCGTATTGTAGATCATTGAAATAACCTAATATACAATATGGGGGGAAAGGGATTGTTAGTAATGGAATTTGACAGCCTCATTACTAGCAATATTATTTGTACAAAAATATTATTTGTACAAAAGTCGATTGCTTGGGTACCTCTGTCCCATTCGTGTTTCAACCGTGAATCAGTTGTGTTTGCATGGCTGTGTTTCGGTTTGAAGGGTGGGATATGGCGTGAATTTACTGGGTACAGAGGAATAACATCTGAGTCCTTAGGAATGTTAACTCATGGGGGGGTATCATGGGCGAAACAGTATACTCTGTTATGTCCATGGTACTGCTCATGTCTATAGGCGACGGTTACCACATTCCATCAGGTGGGCCGTCAGCTTGTTTGCCATTCTAAGTTGTATAAAGAAAAAAAAAACCTCCACGTGGTTCCCCCTGGAAACCATCGTAAACAATTCTTGTCTCGTCACGATGGGCTTACTGACCTGCTTCATCCTCACCTATCATCCCTCACTGGTGCCCCGCCGGTGTATACCGATAGCGCGGGTGGCGTTACCATACTATTATCACCCATAAAAAAAATATACAATATGTACATTACGCAACGTAAGGAATTATATATTAAGGAAGAAACACCATAGTTCCCGTATGAGGAATACATACTCAACGACACGTCCTGTGATTTTACGTTATGTTGTTATTCTTGTTAACAGACAAATAATTAGATAAATTACTAAATAACCTAAATATAAATTTCGTTTTCTTCAGTCGTACATGTTTGACAGTATGCTCGTAATTTTCATGATTATGCTTAATTGTAAATAAGACTCTTCTTCACGACTGAGGTCTTTGCAATGTGTCTTCATCTATTTCTGCTCACAGCCGAGTAAGATCATACCACAATGAATTGTTATGTGGCCATTTTAATAAAATCAATCTATCTCGTTTGTGATCTACATCGAGAACGTTTACCGTGTACTGTATCTTGGACAATTAAACGCTTCATACACTTCATTTCGGATGATATGAAGAAGGTAACGAATTATACAATAGATTTAAAGTTAGATCTTCAGTAGCCTAACTGTGAAAATCGCATCCAATTTGGTATAGCAGTTTTTGCGTGATACCGGAATAGACAGATGGACTGATAAAAAACTATAATCCACTAACTTTGTTAGGAAACTATTAGTGTTTGATTGTATTCCTTTTGTATTGATAGGATATAAAAGAGCTTTTAAAAAGCCGAAGCACACCTATAATACTTCTGGTGATACTGATGCTCATGGACAGCGGTAGTCACTTACCATTAGGTGAGCTGCATACTCATTTGCCCCCTGTCTTATAAAAAAAAATACACGGGAATTTCTCGCCTTTAAAATGTACATTGAAAAATTATAACTAATTAAGTACCTAAAAAAATCATCATAAAATTCTTTAAATTGTTTCCAAGGTTAATTAAATTAATACAGCTGGCAATTTTTTAATACTATACAAAAGTTACAATGTAACATGACACAACTTGAACATAAACGATTCCGAATATTCGTATTTTAACGATATCGCATGCAAGTTATCACAGCTATTCGATTAAACTGGAAAATTGGTTTCATTGTTTTGAATGTAACCCTCGTCGGACTGTGCGCGCGGTCACCGAGCACCCTTTATATGGACTTGTAAATTGCATACTTGTATTTTGGTCGACTTCGTGTTATTTGTGAGCTATGCGGAAACGTCGAAACTATATAATTATGGTAATAACCGATTTTAATGATACTTCACGACCGATTTTGTAAAAGAGGAGATTTTCCTAACTGTAATTTTTATGAGTTACATCATCATCATCATATCAGACGTCAACTGTCCACTAGTGAACATAAGCCTCCTCAGTAGTTGCCACACTTGGCAAGTGGATTGGTAAACGCAATTAGGCATTTGGTGATGTCTTGAGAGGGACGATGCTGCCCATCTCTCGACCATTAAATTCTCTTAATCGCCTCTTACGACACCCACGGGAAAAGATGGGGTGGTCCATTCTATACCGGGACCGCATGATAATTTTTATAAGTATACTCTGCTATATTTTCACATTGTAATGAAAATTGACTTGCATTTTGGTCTCATACTATTCAGTGCTTTAACATTTCGCTTCGTCTTCCTGTAATTTTGGATTTGATCTTCCAATTTCAATGATACTTTGTAACCAATTTCGAGAAAGAGGGGATTTAACTGACTGTAATTTTTATGAGTATATTACGCTTTATTTTCACCGATTATAAACCGATTTTGGTTATTCTTTTCTAATGGAAGCTGATTTACTTGGTTTCGTACTACTTAGTGGTTTAAGATCTCGCCTTCTCGCTATGATTATGAGACCAATATCCATTTTTACAGGAATTATTTATTATATTACTAGAAACATTTGTACCCATGACTAGTGTTTTGCCCGCTACTTCGCACGTGTGGATTTCAGAAACAGAAATTGTAATGAAATGAACTAATCTTAAATGATATAACCAAATAAAACATACACCAGATAGCCTATCATGAAATGTTTTCTGAAATTTCGGAGCCGAACGACACATAGATTTGATGTTTAAATTACATAATACATACGTTTAAAATTATCAAAATATTATTTCTATGGACCTTTATGATAGGATTTATCACAAGCGAAATGTTAAACTCTACTAGGCCGATTTCGGTATGAACAAAAACACAAAATTAAGTCAGAAAATTTGGAATTTCATTTCATGGTAGACCCTCAGTTCTCAAGTTTCTCATCGCATTAGACCTTTTGCATCTAATGAAGTGGAGTAGTTTTTGCGTGATACCGAAACAAACATACTGAGAGCCAGATAAACAAAGTATGTAAAAAATATTTGTTGTTTTATGTTCTATTGGTCTTAAGTTACCAAACATAAAAACACTTCAATATCATAGTAACAGTTACTTATCATGTATAAGAATTTACAAAAAACTACCAAATTCGCTTACTGATCTGTTAATGTTAAAAAATGTTTCTATGCACTGAATTATATAGAGTTATTGGATTTATATGTAGAAGCATAAAAACAAACAAAATAGAATACACATTAATAGCACTCTTCCTCTCACTTTAAACATACACACACTCACACTGTTCACCTTCTCTCACAACACACACTGAACGTTACAGATTTAAAAATTTAATTAACTGCAATCTTCTAGTTAAACAATTTTTTTTTTCTATATTTATCATCATGTTTATTGTGTTTGTAGCTTAATATTGTTAGTTCTGCATCTACAAATACAAAGTATTAGTGCTTGTGTGTTGGAAGGAACTGGCTTACAAGGCACAGGTTACCCTAATTTGTAAGCTAGGGCAAAAAACATGTAACTGTGTAACCCTGTATTTGTTCATAAAGTTTATTATTATTATTATTATTATTACTGAAAGATTATTTTTCCAGTAAAATGGACGACAATATAATTCAATTTTGAATGTAAAACCTGTAAATGTATGACTAACGTAAAGGAGTGAAAAATAATGACTTAAGTAATGTAACTTGTAATTAATAGTAATTGTTAATAATACATATAAAAATGTTGCATGCCAAGCTGTCTGAATATTAAGGTAACACAAAATGTATAATATTACCTAAACTTACCACATTCATCGCAATAAATTTCATTTCATTTCATTATTAAGATCCCGGTGCTAAACAGGGCCGGATTGCAAGTCTTAGACAATTTTCAAATGTGTTAATAGAAATCAAAGATTTTGTTATAATACCTCCTTTGTTAGGTACAGAAGGTAGGAAACAACAAAAACATTTTAAACTGATGTACTTACAGATAGTTTTTACGTTGTAAGAATTGAAATTCATTCACAATAGATTACATATTGTTGCTTATCAATTGTGCTGTTCAAAAAAATCTCACGAATCACGCTCGTCATTGTTACCGATTTGTCCGTTGTTTTACTTTTTTGTTTCTTTTTTCTAACCTTAACAAATTATGTGAATGTATTACACGAGAGACTTTTAAATTAACATGTAATTGGATGAACTCCACTCAGTGCAATGTTTCTTACACTAGCTTTATCCTATAACTGTCTGCGTATATTTGTATGTACTGATACACATAGCTTCACCTGTGTGTACATACAGTATTCTATGTACTAAAGTTAGGACATAACCTACTCGTGTACCAAATTTAATTTAAATCCATCTAGTAGTTTTCGCGTGAAAGAGTAAAAAACATCTATGTATCATCCACCGTTTCAAACTTTTGCATTTATTTTACTAGCTGTATCCTGTGGCTTCACCCACGTAAATTAGTATATAAAGTATCTGAAGAATAAAAGGAATATTCGTTCCCAAAAAACCGGCAATACACCTGCAATTTCTCTGATATTGTG